TGTGCATGTAGATAGAAGTTATAGCAATATTACACAAAGGTCCATATTAACCGTTTGATTACAAAAAATTAATATAAATTTACACTTTTGACCTTAAAATTAAAGCATTTATTTTTAATATTTTTAAAATTAATTTACTCATAAATTTTCCGTATAAGTTATTTTATATGCCTGTATGATAGATTTGACTTCAATCTCGATCCATGCCTTTGCCAAAAACAAAAACATGCAAATAGAAACCGAAGGCATAACTCTTTAACAGTTTTTTCTCTCAATACATGTAAGGCATCCTTATGATCCCACAGTCTGTTGTGTTCCCCTGGCTTCTTTGGTGATTCTTGATGTACTATTTCTCTTCCTGTGCCTCGAAGCAACTTATGCATTGTTAGCTTATTTCCTAGATTGACCATTAAGACATCTTTTAATGAGGTTGTCGATCCCAACTTTTGTGTTATACTCGTAACAATATTCTAACATTGTAATTACAAAATCTTGTTTCTTTCTAACGAAAAAACTAGCAATGTCAAGGAATAATTGTTTGTCGTGGTCATCTTCTAAAGTATCAAAATTAATTTTGAGTTTTTTTATGATCTGATTATTAGGGATTACTTCCAATTTTTTTATTGCACTTTCCCACACATTTAAACTTCTCCTAGACAGATAAGAACCCAAAACCTGAAGAGCTAAAAGAAGCCCAGCGCAATACTTCACAACCCTTTCTGAGTGCTCTATGTAAACTTCAATGGGACGATCTTGTTCAAAGGCATGCCAACTGAAGAGCTGTAAAAATTCATCATTGTTTAATTTCTTAACTTCATGCATCTTTTACAGTTCATCTGCCTTTAGCAATTGTTCATTTGTTGTCGTTATGAAAACTTTACTTCCCTTATGAAACCAACCTCTCATTATGACTATTGCATTTAATCGGCCTAGTTGATCCACATCATCAAGAAAAGATGGGAAATAAGTAAACTTTTATTTATTTTTAGACACACATAGTTGATTATTTGAATTATAAATTTTTTATTAATTTGTGATGATTGATGCAGAATTATTGATTAATTATATTTAATTAGTTTATTCTTCCATAGTTATTGTGGTAATGTCAATTTATATAAAATGAATTTTTATTTATTATTTTTAACATTTTCTTATTTATTTTATTATTTGTTACATTTTAATACGATACAAAAATAAATAAATAAATAAATTGTTATATAGCCGAATTTTTGGTCCCGAATTTTTAATCCATACGTACTATACATGGACGTAATAGTATTTGAATTTTTACATTTTCGTTTTTTCCAATCGAATTTTTATAACGTGTAGTATTTTTTTTAAAAAAAATTGAATTATACTCGTACATTTTTTAATCCGTTTATTTTTTCGTACCGTATTTTATTAACTATGATGGATAGTGATCAAATATTACTTAGTCTAGTAGTATCTTCTCTACTTCCAAATTAATAAAGGTGTAAATTCCTTGTCGTTGAAATAAATAAATAGGTTTAAAAAATAAATAAATAAAATTTGATAGAAAGTGGGGACCACTAGTCAATCACTGTAGATTAAGAAAAAGTCCACCACTATAAGTGAGTCCACCTTTGTCGGAATGAAATCCCTCCTGAATCAAATATCACATGTTCACAACAATTCATTATTTCAATTTTAGCTCCAAAAGTTTAAGCTGCAGAAAAACTCCCACCACTCATACTGAACAGTGTCTTTTTTTTTTTTTTTTCTAGTTGGTAATCGCACACATATTTTCACTACGATTTGAATCCATCTCTCTCTTTAAGAAGTAGAAATTTAGTACCGCTAAGTCACTGGCTTTTTGGTTACCGAACTCTCACGAACCATTATCTCGGCCTGCATCAATCACCTCCATGACATTTGTCGCACACCAATTACCCAACCAGATGCATTAATGATAATTACAAAAATGATACTGCCACGTAAACCCGACATGAAATTATGGGAACCCCCAATATAGGTATATATAAACCACATGCTCTTCCGATGAATTGCTACCATAATTCAACGTGGATTGCCCTCTCAAGTGCGCAGTTTCATCTTGGTTTGAGCATATACCAATAGACTTGTTGGAGAATAAGCTTATAAATTTGAATTCTTATTATAAATTAGAGGTGGAAGCAAATTTTTTTTTTTTTTTTTTTTTCCCTTCCCAATTTCTTATTATAACATCACCTTAATGGTTTGTAATTTTTAATTTTGTTTTTTTTACTTTTTTTAAAAAAGAAAATCTAAAATGACAATCATTTTTAGAGAAAAACAATTTTCATACATTCAGGGACATTTTTGTTATTTTAAGATCACTTTTATCGTGTGTGTGATTTTATTAAATTTTATTTTTTAAGAGTTTAAAATGAAAAGTCATTCTAAGTTGGGAGACAAATATCTACCCAAGTACATGTATATAGCACTTCTTTCTTTTCACGCTAAGGCAATGTGAAATTGTGCACCTATAATTCATCCAATGTGGTAACTTGTCAGTGCCTCTTGCACCCGTCATGACAAACCTTACAACAATCACCCCCTAAAGGCCCGACATCCCCGTTAGTCACATTTTTCAATTGGGTCAAGCTCTGATACTATATGTAACGACCCACTCTATCAGTGCATCTTACACCTGCCCGCAAGGTCGCCACGACTACCACACTGGGCGAGCTACAGGTGCACAATTCCATATCGTACACGGATACGGGATACGGGTACGACACAACACAGATACGGCAACAAGGCAAATTTCAAAAAAATAGGACACGGACACGGCGGGGATATGCCTATAAAATAATATATATATATATATATATATATATATATATATATATCAAACATGTTGTGTCGTACCCGTATCCCGTATCCGTGTACGATATATATATATATATATATATATATATATATAATTATATATTTAAAATATAATTACTAGAATCTTGCACATTCATTTTACTAATATCAAACATGTATATATAAATACAAAATTGCAAATAAAACAACAACAAATAACATAACCAATTTCAATAATTTCATTCTCTTGTAAGAAAAACATAGACAAGACAAAACAGAAAATAAATGAAAAATAAAGTTGATCCAAATTCCAAACGAAATGTACAGAAGAGACATAACTATAATGGGCTAAATACGTACATAAATAAGCATACATACGTTTAATCTTTCACAAAGTCTTGTTCATGTCACTTAAAAAAAAAAAAAAAAATGTCTTGTTCATGTACAAAAATAATTGAAGAAACGAAAAGAATGAGAGAGGAAGTGAGAGAAAATAAATTTACTGTGTAGTACTCTATTGTCTGTAATTTTTTTTTTTTTCAAAATTTTACTTTTAAACTTCTAAAATTAGTAAATTACATTAGGTACTCCATTTATCTTAAAAAAAATTACAAAATATACCCCACTGTGTCCCCGCGTGTCCGAGCCATGTCCATCCCATGTCCTCCGCGTGTTCGAGCCATGTCCACCCTGTGTCCAATAAAAAATAATTTCTGGACACTTCATAAAAGTGTCAGATACGTGTCTGAACCTTGGACACGTGTGTCCGTGTCCAAAAAGTGTCCGACACTGGTACAGGACCCCTGGGAGGAGTGTCCGTGCTTCATAGGGTTTGAGCATATACCAATAAACTTGTTGGAGAATATGCTTGATAAATTTGAATTCTTATTATAAATTAGAGGTGGAAGCAATTTTTTTTTTTTTTTTTTTTTCCCTTCCCAATCTCTTATTATAACATCACTTTAATGATTTGTAATTTTTAATTTTGTTTTTTTACTTTTTTTAAAAAATAAAAATCTAAAATGACAATCATTTTTAGAGAAAACAATTTTCATAAATTCAGGGACATTTTTATTATTTTAAGATCATTTTTTTTGTAACAACCCAAACCCGAGGGTCCTAATCACTAACCGAGTCCTTACCCAAACCCGAGGTCAACTAAGGACACTACCGTCCTTTCCTATGTCAATACATAATATACGTATCATCCCAGGGTTTATAAGATAATAATAATAATAATAAATAAATAAATAAATAAATAATAAATAATAGTAATAAAATGATATCATAGCTACAAAGTATGTCAAAACAATCTACTAACTCATCAAACTTGTGGAGGACCATCGTCCACCACTTCCCTTTTGTATCCTGAAAAATGTTAATAATAAAGGGGTGAGCATAAGCTCAGTAGGAAGTGTCTAAGACACACCTCTTATGACCCCGTGAATCCACGTATAAAATAGAAAACAAGAGAATAGGATCATATTATACCAGGGATGTAAACCATAACTACAGCATCCAATATAAACACAAATGTCATCCAAGTCACAAATACACCAGGTATGCCAATAAAGTGCAATGCCATGCTCATGTCACGCCCCATTTCCGAAACATTTCCGTTTCAACTTCCAAACTGTTAGTGTAATCTGACCCAAGGCACCTCCAAGGCGTTACGAGAGAGGGGTTGGCCATTACAACATTTTTGGCTTTTACCAGCGCTCAAAAGCGCTGGTAAAAGTTTTAAAAAGTATTGGTAATTCAATTACCAGCGCTTTACCAACGCTTTTTCAAAAGTGTTGGTAAATCCAGTGTCAGTAGGCCTTTACCAGCGCTTTTGCAGAAGCGCAGGTAAAGTCCTTTTACCAGCGCTTTTCCAGAAAGTGCTGGTAAAGTCCTTTTACCAGCGCTTTTCCAGAAAGCGTTGGGATAGAGTATTTACCAACTTTTTCTAGAAAAGCGCTGGGATAAAGTATTTACCAGCGCTTTATGAAAAAACGCTGGTGGAGTGTATTTACTAGCGCTTTTTGTAAAGCGCTGGTAAAGGGTAATTTTAATTTTTTTTTCCTCCCCTCCCTATGCCAGCGCTTCTTAAAAGAGCACTGGTAAAGGGTTTTTTATTTTTTTTATTTTTTTTTTTTTCCTTATAGTTTTTGGAAAAAACATATCAATAGAACTATCAACAGTAAATGTCATCCAATATAACACAAGTTAATATGAAAATACCATCCAAATTGTTTTTACATAATACAACCACAAGTTAACCCTGCCAATATGAAAATTATCATCAAAATTGGCTACTAATACAACCACAAGTTAACCCTAGTAAATGTTAACCAAAAAGCAAAAATGTATACTAATACAACCACAAGTTAACCTGCCAATATACCATCCAAATTGTCTAAATAAAGCTATTAAATGTCAAACAAAAAGAATTAACAATTTTTGACAAATGTAGTACAAGTTTTTCAAAAAGAATCCATCCAAGGTGAAGGAAATTCAGAAAGTATAGCCATGACCCCATCTTCATCTTCAACTTCAACTTCAACTTCAACAAGTCTTCTTGCTTATTTGATTTGAATTACCCTACATTTTTTATAAATTCATTACGCACACATTATAATAAATGAAAATTTAACATATATATAAGAGAAATTAAAAGTTCATAACCTTAACTGAATTGGCATCACGACTAGGTAATGAATTTGGGGATACTCTAGGAGGAGCATTTAACGAATCAGAACCCTTCAAAATAAGAAAACAAAATACACGAAATCTTGGCATAAGTAAACGTATATTTAGTAAAGAATAAAACTAATAATAAATATACCTGTCCACTACAATTTTGTTATTGCATCTGCATTAGCATAGCCACCTGTTGTTGTAAATTTTCCAACTTCTCAACATAGTTGGCTCGTAAATTTTCCAACTTGTTGTCATAGTCGGCTTGCATTTTTGATATGGTCTGCTGCAACTCTACGCGTGCAGCACATGCCTCCTCATTAGATTTTTTCGCATTATTAATCAGTTCAGTTTTACTAGGAGAGGGCCCCCAAACATCGCTTGGTGTAGGCCAAAAGCCAAGCATCCGCACATGACCAGTTCTCTCTTCTCCCCTCACAATGGAGAACAAATCATTGGAACTGCCAATAGGCTAGTCAGAGTAACTTTTTTGAAGAACTTTTATGTTTTCCTGCCAAAAAAAAAGTTTGAATCCTCACTATCAATGCATTTTTGATACTGTGCTTTTATGCGACTTTTATCAAATCCAAATTCCAATTTCGTACATGATACATGCAATCCAGAAATTTCTAAATTTAATGGACATGATTCATCAAACTAAATGTTTTTCTTAAATCTTTGTTATTATTATTGATATTATTATTTTTGTCTCAGGGTTCGGGTTCCAATTTTAAGTGGAAGTGATTGCTGTTACATGGTAGTTTTTCAGTATGGCTCAATTGTCTTGTTTAATGTTCATGATCATGACATTGATGGATATATTAAAATCATAGAAAAGCATGCTTCAGGATTGCTCCCTGAGATGAGAAAGGATGGTGAGCTTTAATGTATAGAATTCCTATAGATGAATTATAGAGTTTAAGTTTATAAAAATTATTCAACAAAATCATTTGATCCTTCCTTTTTCTGTGATATGCTATATGAGAAACATTTTTGCATCTGAGAGAAGTTCAATGATTAGCTAAAAATGTCATGAGCTATCATATGAGAACAGAATAGGTTGAAAGTAATGTTTCTTATCAACCAAAAAAATAAAGATATCTTCATTGCATTTATTAACATGAAGGCTGAAGATTTTAATTTTTGCATATTCATATGGCCGGGAATGATTTGATGTTAAAGGGTCAAGTAATCCAACTAGAGATGCACACATACCCTCATTTTGTTGATTTCAGTGATTTCCAGGTTGTTTGAAGCAGGCGCACTATTGCTGGATTTAGTTACAGTTAGTTACCTCCCTGTACAAAACTTGGTGGCAACCAGGTATGTTGGATTATTTGACCCAATTTAAATAGCTGAAATTACCCTTTTAGCTATTATTTTTAGAAAGCAAGCACAATTTCTATAAGTGTGTGTGCGCGCGTGATAGAGAGAGAGAGAGAGGAGGAAGGGAGGGAGGGAGGTAGAGATGCAATTTGACCAATCGGTATATTCATATCGCGTGTGGGTTTTTTCTTTAATAAAACTTTCTTCCCCCTTTTAGGAGAAATGGAGGTGGGGTCCTACCATTTGACCTGAGTTAATTGCTTTTTTACTCTTCATGAATACATTGTCATGCACTTAAATATGTTTGGCTTACTAGAATGGTCTTGTGCTCCAGTTAAAATCCATTTTTGCAGTTTAAAGGCCCACTTAAAATTGGGATAGAAGAAGTGGATTAGAAGGGAAATGGAATGCATAAAATATACACAAAATGAACTATACAATAACCATGCTCTGATGTGAGTATTTCTTTAATACTGTGGGGAGGTCCAGCATGCCTCTTCCTTTATCTCTTGTTGGTTATTTGCCGTTTCTGATTACATATATCTAGAGTAGCAAAGTTGATGGCATTTGTGGTAAAAGTCTGAAGCTTGGTATTCTTGTCGATGAGATTGCACTATCAATGCATTTTTGGCCTTACAACAGCCTAAACCTCCTGCAGAGACCAATCTTTCAAGTGCAATTGGACTGGCTAGTCTAGAGGGATATTTTTTATGATCACCGGGAAAATAGTTTCTGCTCACAGTTTTTTTATTGAACAATTTCTGTTTTGTAAGTTGACAAATTTTGTTCCCGTGTTTTTTTTTTTTCACCATACAGTCAATCTTAAGATATAGAAATGGAGTCTGTTTAACCCTAGGTCCCTAACCAACAATTTTTGTGAAAAGAGAGGTGCAACATATGCGGAAAATTTTAATATCATTTCATTGATGAAAAGTTGATATTGTCAGTTGAACTATCTTTCAAGTTTGAGGCAAAAAAGAGATGATACCATGAGTTGTACACTATATATTGTCATTAAGTATCAAGTATATTGGTTTTTTTTTCTTTATTTTTTACCCCTTATCTGTGACTATAAGACCTAAAACTTATACAGTTTGTGTGTTAGTGTAACCTAAGTAACATATGAGATGCGATCATTTTTATGTAAGATCAAAATTCTAGGCACATTGTGTCCATAATTTCCCAAGAATTACTAGGTGTAGAACGAGGATGAAGCAATAAAACTTAGAAACAGAGAAAAGGTGAGAGAACAAATAGAGTACAAGTGTTAATGGAAATTAAATACATGTTGGGGAGAATATGATTGACACATTGACATAAACATCAAATAGCAAATACTTCTCCACAACACAAATCAATCAACAAGAAGCCTCCATATACAATGATCCCATACTCCCATGTTTTTCAACAAATACAAGAAAGTAAATTTCCTCCACACGGGCCGATGATAAACAATGAAATTAAAATGCCTCCACACGGGCCGATGACTTAAAAATTGGTCACTTCAAGGCATGTGACCCCCTAATACACCACAAAGAGTTTAAAAATTGGCCACTTCAAGGCACATGACCCCTTTTTTGCAAATGGAAGCATGAAAACTTACAATCATCTCTGAAGCAGCATCATCAGTAGCTTTGCCATCCTTATTTACATGTGTGCGAATGAATAAATCTGCACGAGAAAGCTGAATACCTTCGTCTTCCTCAATCTATAAAAGAAATATAGACATTGTGATATATATTATTATTTACCGCTAACATTTATAATCATTCAACAACATAAGAACTGAAATAATTTATATTGCCAAAACTTCAACTAACCTCGGCAGAAACACGTGCAAAGCTTTTTGTCCCTGTAGTATGCATCATTGTCTGCTTCCCACGACGTTCTTTGTTTTTTTTACTAACCTCCTACAAAAAGTGAGAAAAAGTAAACGTTCTAACATTCCACCTAAAATAATGACTGAAAGCAGGTAAATTATAAATTCAACTCGTTGACTTTAAACAAAATTGGTGGATGGAGGATTACCTTCACCATAGGCGTGCCCCAATGCCTAACCAAAAATTCCCAATGCTTATTTTCAACATCAGGTGGTGGGTTTGCTAATCTTTCTGCATCTGTATCCCTAACCAAGTAATATTCAATTTTTAATTCACACTTGTACCCCTTCCACTTTTTTTCGATGGAGGATATTGTCCAATGTTTTGACATGATTCCCATATCATACTTTCCCTGAAAATATGATAGTTGCTGCATGTTAATCCAATTTTTCCATAAAAATTATTTTAATATCATTGAAGGGTTTTACCTTTACAACGTTCCACATATCCTCCTTCAGCCATTTAGGCATCTCCCACCAAGTTTTACAGCACAAAGGAGCTAAATTGGCTTTCCGGGCAAGTGTTCCCAAATAATTAGTATATGTACCACTTCCAGGGCCGATCGGCTGTCCAAACTTATTAACCCTAAACAAAAATTAACAATTGTAGATGTTTAGTACAAAAATAAAGATAGAAATCCTTTTTTCTCCTTCATATTGAATATAGTCTAATTATGTAAACTATACAAGATGATCTCTATATATATGTACCTTAATGGTAATAAGGTTGTCGCGTTTATGACATTCTTGCATCGTGTCGGGCCCCATCTCTTCTTCGACGGTGGTTGGGATGATTTTGAAGTTGAAGCTTCGGTATTTTGTTCACTCACTTTTTCCACTTCACTAACTGTTCATTTCATTGTCAGCTTATTATTTATCCTTCCTGGAAAAGAAAACAAAAAAGTGAGAATTCATTTAAGAGAATGCATTCAAATTGTTTAAAAAAGGCAATGCACAATCCAAGAAAATTCAATAAAAAGAAATAAAAAATAATGTGCCAAGAATAGATCAAAACATATTAAAAATATATAAGCACACAAAAAAACTAAATAAGTTTTCACGGGAAGCGTACATGTGCATGCTACAAAATATGATACTGCAATATTATTGTCAAAGTTGCATATATATAAATATATATATAGTGAATCAGAGCTTATAATATCCAAAAAAGACATTTGACATCCAAAAAAGACGTTTCACATCCATTGAGTAGTAGATATGGAATCATCCTAAATCTTATCTTCATCAAGGTCATTATCAACATCATCATCTTCTTTTATAGTTGTTCCAAGCAAATCAGCTCTTGTCCAAAACGTGCTATCATTAGGTACATCCAAGTCGTTATCCACATGTTGTGCATGAAATGGCTCCTGAACTTGATAAGATTCAATATCATGCTCTGGCATATCATAAAGGTCTCGCGGTTTTGCGCCAATAACCACTTTCCACTCATTGTCAATGGGATCATCAACATAGAATACTTGTTCAGCTTTAAGATGCTAGAATGAAAGGCTCATCTGTTCCCAACAATCGTGACGAATTAACAAGCTTAAATCAAAAATCATCCTCCTTTATTCCTGTACCCTTGGACAAGACATCAAACCAATCACACTTAAGCAATACCACCTTCCTATTTACACTGTAATTTAACTCAATGATATCAGTCAGCACACCATAGTACTAAATATCTCCTGTGATGGGATTTTGATCGGTGGCTCTTGCATAACTAGATGTCACTGCCTTTATGACAACTCCACTATTCTGAGTCTTTCTCCGTCTCTCAACATCTCTAACATGAAACTTCAAACCATTGATCACAAACTTCTTGAATCATTTTGCGACATGGTTTGGACCTTGTGCTAGCCACCTTAGCTCATTAGGAATTAAATCCTCACTATCTCACAACTGTATTCATAAAGATATAACTTATATAATAAGGTAATTTTCCATAAACCTATAATACACCAACAACCCAAAAGTCAAATACTTACACGTTTATTAAACCATTTGTGAAATAAATCATGAGACATCTTCTCTAATTGTCTTGGTTTTAAATAGCGCTGCCTCATCTTAAGAAGTCTCTTATGTTTTCTGCATTGTGAAAATATAATGTTGAACATATTGCCTATTAAACTAAATGAAGTTTGACACGAATATAATCATGTAATATATTGGGGAACTTAATCTTACTCAATGAATGGTTCTGCTCCATGATAATTGAATAAAACATACCGATGAGCTTGCACCAAAGTCATCTCATCTAGATTAATGAACTCTTGTTTTCCCAAGGCACGGCCTTATGCCCCAAAATCATTCTCCTCTCCATCAAGCACATTATCAGAATTCCTTTGGGGCCTATTGAATCTCGTCTTAATATTTGTCAGATAACGTGAACAAAAAGTCAAGCATTCTTCCGCTAAATAACCTTCTGCTATTGAACCCTCAGGATGACTTCTATTTCGCACGTAATTTTTCAAAGTCATAAGGTACCTAAATATAAATAATGAAATTTAATAATATCATAATTACTAAAAAATAAACAAACTATAAATGAAAATTCATTAAAAATCTTGACCTCTCAATTGGATACATCCAACAGTATTGCACTGGTCCTGCAATCCTTGCCTCGTGAGCCAAGTGAATAGATAAATGTACCATTACGGTAAAGAAGGCAGGTGGGAATATCATTTCCAACTGACATAGTATTAAAACAATCCGGTGTTCCAATTTATCCAAGTCTTCAGGCCGAAGAGTCTTTGAACACAGCTCTCGATAAAAATTACCGAGCTCGACAAGTACTGAGCAAACATTCTTAGGGAATAACTTACGAATGGCTATGGCTAGAAGTTGTTGCATCAAGATATGACAATCATGACTCTTCAACCCACTAATTGTACGCTCTTTCAATTTCACACAACGTGAAATGTTAGATGCATACCCATCTGGAACTTTAACATTTTTCAACACTCGACATAATTTGCTCTTTTCAAGTGAAGATAGCGTGAAACTTGCAGGAGGCAAATAAAATTTGTTTGAACCACGTTCTTGTGGGTGAAGTGAAGGCCTTACTCCCATATCATGTAGGTCAAGTCTTGCTTTTAATCCATCCTTCCCTTTCTGATCATTCATTAATGTGTGAAGTATATTGTCACATATATTTTTTTCAATATGCATCACATCTAGATTGTGACGCAGAAGATTATACTTCCAATATGGTAATTGAAATAATATACTCTTCTTTCTCCAATTGTGTGGCAGACGCGTCCGATCTTCACGCTTCCGATCTTCATTCAGTGTATGCACACTCTTTCCAAATGGTGGAAATTTAAGGCCCATTAATTCATGTAACAATTGTGGTCCAGATAACATAGGCGGTGCACACCTTACCTCTTCAGTGTCGTCAAATGCTGATTTACAACGTCTATATTTATGATCTTTTTCAAAAAAACAACGATGCCCATCATAACATATTTTCTTGCTATGATCTAAGAAATGAGAGCAAGTGTCTTTGTTACAAGTAGGATAAGCCAAATACCCTTTTGTACTCCAACCGGATACCATTGCATAACTAGGAAAGTCAGAAAGAGTCCAAAACAATGCTGCATGCATACGGAACATCTCATTTCTTGAAGCATCATAAGTTTCCACCCCATCAACCCACAACTCTTTTAATTCCTCTATCAAAGGCTACAAATAGACATCAATATCATTTCCAAGTCCCTTAGGGCCAGGTATCAAGGTTGATAGAATAAAATAAGGCTGTTTCATGCACATCCATAAGGGTAAGTTATACACGAGTATCAAAACAGGCCATGTACTGTGTGCAACACTCATGGTCTTGAATGGGTTGAACCTATCAGTTGCTAATGCAAGCTTGACATTCCGAGGATCACTAGAAAATGTTGAGTAACTTTTATCAAAGCTATCCCATGCTGGGGAGTCAGCGGGATGTCTCATCAATCCATCTTTGATTTGCTCTTCGGCATGCCATCTCATAGAAGAAACTGTCTTACTTGACATGAACAATCTTTGAAGTCTCGGCTTCAAAGGAAAATATCGTATAACTTTAGCAGGAATTTTTTTATTTGTTGATGAGGATGATGTACTTGCATTGCCCTCAATTTCTGAATCAAAAACTTTCCACCTTGACTTACCACAATTATAACACATTTCATCATTAGAGTGCTCCTTCCAATACAACATACAATCAAAGGGACATGCATGAATCTTATCATATTTAAGACCCAGGTCACCAATCATCTTCTTTGTTTCATTGAAGGTTTTTAGTAATGTCTTGCCATCTGGTAATCCATCTTTTATCACTTTTAACAGATCAGTGAATGTTTTGTCACTCCAATTATATTTAGTCTTCACTAAATATAGCTTCACTATATAGGATAACTTTGAAAACTTTTTACACCCAGGATATAACTCTTGGTTTGCATCTTCTAATAGCCTATAAAATTTATCTAACTCTTCATTTGACACCCTTTAGTGCTGATCATTTTCTCCGTTGGTCTCTTCCCTCCCTTCAGTTGGAACACCAAAACCCTCGTGTAAGAGTCCATGCATATCATCATTTTTGTTTGCATTGATATCGTCGTGTGTTGTGTGTACATCAGTTTGCCGAGAAAATAACGGCACTTCTTCCCCATTATAAAACCAAGTTGTGTATGACTGAATAAACTTATTGCACACCAAATCATCTCCCACCTCAGAATATGTTTTTTTTTTTTATACAATTGCCACAATCAGTACAAGGACAATATATACGCCCATCCTTCCCAACTCGCTTAAATGAGATATCTAGAAACTCTTCAACTCCACGCAAGTATGCTGAGCTTAACCTATTTGCATAGTAATGCATATAAAAAATAAAATTTCTTAAATTGTAGTTATTAGATTAAGTAACCTAATCAAACTACAATCTGAAGTACCTTGACTGAGTTATCCAACTTCTAATCATGATATTACATCAAGTAACCTAAATAAAATATATGGACAAGAAATATATTATTAGTAAACATGATAACAATTTAGTCAAGGTATTTGAAAAGAATAAAAAAGTAACATGTACAAAAAAAATCATGACTACTCCATTAAAACAAATTCCTCAACAAAATGTAGCTAGGGTTCCTAAGAATGATCGTAAATTTTTAGTAAAATATCATTATGCAAGATGGGTCCATTGTGTACAGCAAGAAAGTAACAGGTAATAGTTCAATCTCCAAATGTTCCACATGAACATAAACAAATTATTTGCATTAATCAAAATAAAAACATATTGCAACACGATTATTTGTAAGAGCTGACAATTCAACAAGAGGATATACCAAAGTTGATTTACCTATCATGCAACAAGTAGAATATATTGATCAACTAATAAAACTCATAAGGAATAATTTTAAATGCATAGAAAAAAAAAATTAAAAAGCAGGAAAAGCAATCATCAATACCTTCAAAGAATATTAGCCAATCAAATGTGAATTATCCCCTTCTTGAATGCTAATGCGAAGGAAACCGGGACAAAGCCTGAATTATAGTGGTCACACTGTCAGCAATAGCAAGAACATAGCAAGCTCAGTGTTTTGTAGCATACAAAAACAGAAATTTTTGGACTGAATGAGTTGTCGTAGCATTATAGAGAAATTTAAATGACTTTGAACTATGGAAGCTAGTTGAGAGTTTCAGTTTCAAAACCACCATTTATCTGATGCAATTTTCCTGCATTAAGCTTTGTGAAATTCTTACCCATATGAAATCAATTCACATAAATGACCCTTAATATTCATATATTGTAAACCTTCAAACTATTACTATTACGGAGTGTTTTTTTTTTTTTAAATTAGGACATAATTGTATAATAATAACATAAATAAGTAACGGGCGCAATCAAGAAGCAAAAGGGGCATCAATTTAGGGAAATATGTGTAAATTTGCCATAAAGATGTTTTGGCCAAGGGGATGACAACCAATGAACAAAATAGTAATAAGAGTATTTAAAATTAAAAATAAAAATTTTAAAACTGCTTAAGTTATAACTAAAAGGAAACTGTAATGAAAGGACTGAAAATTGCAAAATGACATAATGTCAATGTAATGAAGGACCTATCCCCATCACCAGAATGGGTCGATTGCCTACAACCCAAACCTAACCTACACCCATATTTGTTGTTTGGTGTTTTAGTTGAGTAACTTATTTATGACTACAAAAGAAATTCATCTGAAATTAACCATTTTTTTTATACATAGTACTAGTATATAACCTTTTCGAGAATTGCCTTTTGCTTTTCAAATTTTCAGTTCTATGGAAAAAATATTCTCATTTCTACATCTCCTTTTCCAACAACTCCAACATAGCTTCATCTAGATAACTCTTAGAATCTTTACTATTTTTTTTTTCTCCTAGAAATTTAAAATCTTAAATCTTACCCCATTTCAATCCTATTTTTGTTCCTCATCTTCCGCCACATCTTTAAAAATGAGAGACAAATTATGACAGAAAAACAATTTACAACTACCGTACTGTTATAAACAAAGTATAACACAATAAAATTATGTAATTAGATTACTCCAATTTCAGCCATGTTATTGCAAAGAACTATTTGTGGCCATACAAGCTGTTTTGGAAATGAAGAAAAATTAGATAGAATATTTACTTTTTCTATTTTAAAGGTGGGGAAGTTCACAAGAAACCACATTTTCCCTAAACTGATTGTGTATACTATTTCTTTAGCAGATTAAAATTAATTGGGAGAACTTATCAAATTTCCAATTTTACCATTTAATCCATTAAGCTAACACATTCATTGAAATAATGAATTAAGCTAAACACAACTTAGAAATAATATACAAAAATATAGAAGAGCACACTGACATTTAAATAATTCATTGCAAATTCAAATGTTTCATTGCAAATTGATTTACAATGCTCATTGTTATTTTCAAATTCAAAATTTAGAAACAAACTTCAATTTATCAATGGATTTAGGATCTCCATTTCATCATTTTTGCACAAAATTTACCAACAATATGGCAAGTTTATGCAGGCATCCAGAAAATTATGAAACTCAATTCCGGTCAAAATGGAGTATCTGTAAGATAAATGTGGCAAAACAGCCCAAGGAAAGAAGAAGTAAAGAAAAATTTCAAAGTCCAAAACAAAAAAGTTCAAACAATCAAACATATGAAGTTAGGAGCACACCTTGTTTAGACTTCAGAAAGCTGTAAAGAGGAGGCAAGGAGCTATCCAAGGCTTTCACGATATCCAGTACTCAGGGGCAAGGAGCTAGGGCTTTCGCGAAGAGAGTCGTCTACCGACTCTGCACAAACAAAGCTAGGGCACGTTGACAAATATGGTAAATTCATAATTTAAATTAAAAAAAAAATACACAGGTAATCAAAATCAGAAGGTGAACAGTTACTAACCTAAAAAATTCTTGTCCGATCTGTTAGTGTAGACGAGGTTTTGGAAACCCCTAACGACGACTCTTTCTCTCTCTGTATGTGCAGTAGCAATGACTTTGAGCTAAACCAAGCCACCAGTTTTGGAACGCTGTGATGGAAGGAGAGAGAGACGTGATGATCGGTGATGGAAGGGACCAATGATGGAAGGGCGACAGAGCTGTGATGGAAGGAGAGAGACGTGATGATCGGTGATGGAAGGGCGAGACCAGTGATGGAAGAGCGACAGAGCTGTGATGGAAGGAGAGAGACGTGATGATCGGTGATTGAAGGAGAGAGACGTGATGGAAGGGCGACAGTGCTGTGATGGAAGAGGAGAGAGCGGCTGAAGGTGTTAGGGCTATTGCAAAATGAAATTGGGGAAAGTGGAATTCTGTGTTAATTGCCCCCAAAAACGGCATAGTTTAGGGCCTAAATCAACGGGGAAAAAAGTGAGGGAAGGTAAAAAAAAAAAAAAAGGAGGGAAGGGAAAAAATGGGATGGGGCTATCGTATACCAGCGCTCCTAAAACGAGCGCCGGTAATAAAAACCCTATACCAGCACTCCTAAAACCAGCGCTTGTACTACACACCCTATACCAGCGCTCCTCTAAGAGCGCTGCAACTAAAGACCATATACAAGTCCTCCTAAAATGAGCGCTGGAAATAAAAACCCTATACCAGCGCTCCTACAAAGAGCGCTGGTACTACAAACCCTATACCAGCGCTCCTGTAAGAGCGCTACAACTCAAGACCATATACCAGCGCTTCTATAAAGGGCGCTGGTAATAGTACACCTATACCAGCGCTCTTTATAGAAGCGTTGGTAAAACCCCAATATGTTGTAGTGGGCTAGTCTTCTCGGACCATATGGCACCTCCATGGCGTCATCTGGGTAGCTCAACCACACTAGAGTCTCTCTCTAACCCCCTCTAGACCACACTAATACCACGGACCACTAGGTGCCTCCTAGGCATCCGAGTTTTCGTAAAACTTTTCAAAAACATTTTCCCAAAATCATTTTATTTGCTTTCAAAACATTTTTCCCATTTTTCCTTTCCTAATGGATGCATGAATGCTTCATGCTCCTAATCATGAATTCAACCATAGAATTTCACACATGCTTTGCAAATTAAATCTCTAAAGTAAGTAATTCATGTTTCCCTTCAACATTTTTTTTTATTATTATTTTTTTGCATTCCAAGTATACAAAGCGTAAATCCATTTCATATACATCATGCTTGCATGCTTTCAAAAATAATTTAATACTCCACATCAATTTCTCAATTTAACAATCATGTCATCATAACAAGTGTAGCAGTTAACTTAAATAACCAAGCTCCCATTTTCATAACAACTCATCTTAGCATGCCACTTAACACATAAAACACATACAACACATAAATCATCTCATGATTATAACAAGATTAATACAATAAAATCCTGCTTGGGACAAATTTAAGGAGATAACTCACTGAAATCAAAGAATTTTTGGGTTAGAATACCCCTACCTCAAATTTGTAGAAAAACCCTCAAAATGGGTCTCAAATTCGAAATCCTAGGGGAGGCCAAAAGCTAAAATTGTTTGTATAGATGTGAAGATCTCAGCGTGCTCTCCGTTATGCCGTAAACGGCTCCCAAAAATTCTCAAAATTGAGAAAGAAATTTGAGATTGAAGTTTGCTTTCAAAAGAGAAAAAGAAAAAGATGAAATGTTAGGGGAAGAGAGAACCTGGGGGAGAAAGAAAGAATGAAACCAATTTATGGTCTCTTGCCCACCAAATGGGTTAGTGATGGGTCCCACTACTTCCAGTAATCCCACTTTTTTCCTTTTATTTGCACCACAAATATACACAATTTATAAACATTACATTCTCCCCAACTTTAAAAGATTTCGTCCCCGAAATCTATCTTCCTTAAAGAAGGAGGCTTGCAACCGCACACCTTCCCAAGAAACCTCAGAAAACCCCAAAACCATAAACTCACCAACATTATTGCCTTTGATACCAGACATAACCAGGCAATCAGAAACCACTGCCACTGAAACCCAATGCTCACCACCCTATGAGGGTACTCATTTCTCACAACTTTGTAACACAAAACCAACTGATACGCTCTACATAATACTCAACTTAAAATGGACATCGATCCACTCAACACTGCCACAATAGGCTCTAAAGCCCGAAAGAAGAATGGTTGCCCGACCACCGAATATGACAACGTCTAAGCCCAACTCATCCTCTAAAGAACACACAAGACTCCAAACGAAGAACCCCGTCCATTTCACAATAAAGCTCAACTTAGATCTACAGATCTCTATCAGACCAACACTCGTCACTTAACACAAAGCTACACCACCATATATCGGTACAAGCAACCACCAACCGCACCATTCAACAATCATTACACTGGACAACTTCAAGAAGACAAAACAACATATTTCCCAACGACTACATAATTATGAGTCACCAGAATAATAAAATGTACTATCCTGTATCCTAGACACAAATAATCAATGATTGTACCACAAACCTGTTATCGAACACTTAGTCCTACCTAGCACACCTCATCACCCGAGACTAACCATCTGAATCCACCTTGTCCCACCGACACATCGCGCAATAATGTACTCTCACTGTTTTTGATAAATAGAACAATCAATAACCTTTGACCCGACATTGTCCTAAAGAGGGACTGATTCAGGAGAAATGGTTGGCCAGGCCATTCTCATCCCAGGCCATTCTCATCCTCAATCCTATCTCAACACAGAAGTCGTTCCTATCCTCAGGTCCAAACCTCAAATACAATCTCACACAGTCCACAAAACAACAATGAGATCCATTCACTATCACTCCATTGTGCTACGTAATCCTTAATAGCTATACAGTCACATACCTACTCTAAAAGTCCCAATCATGCCTCAATCATACAACCCGTAATAAGCTAAAAACAACACGGCACCAAACGTCACAATCATCAACAGTATATAAGATCTCTAATTTTCTCTAAACACCTATACCAGGTAAATAACCCCATGTCATCATTCGGTTCAATTCCTACTTCTTCAAAACACATAATATGATCGTCTTATACTTGAAACCTTAAAACCAAAGCCAATCATTCCTATTATTCCTCAATAGAATCACATACTCACTTTCTCTAATCACGTAATTTTAAGACAACAATGATAATTGTCCTCAAAACACAGCTCGAATCAAACACCTATAAAAACATCCGAGTACAAGACTCATATCACATCACCTCCTCGAACTTATAGTTCACAACACATCCCTAACCATCACCAATAGAACCTGACACCGGAAACACCACCCTTATTTAGCAACTCGTGCCGTCAAACCACTCTAAAAAAAAAACACCACTAAGAACCAATGACTTTATCTCCCTCTGTGGGAGTGAGTCGACCAAACCAACCAAACCTTTACCGACGAAATCAAATAACATAACAAACCACACATAGGTCCATCCACCCACGGACGCGCACAACTCCTAAATGAAGAACAAGGCTCATGACAAATGACGTCCTTGCTAGGACTAGAACAAACGAAAAGGGTAACAAACCCCACTCTCACAAGAGACTGACGACTTGTACCTGAATGCACCCGATATCTTGTCACACGCTACATACCAATTGTCCAACCATGGACACCCAATCTCACCTGAGATGAACTAAACTCCTTACACACAAAAAGAAGAACCAAATGGATACCTGTACGAAACTACAAACTCAATTCTAGGTGACCTTGCCACTAACGATTCATCATACATTATCAACACAGAAACCTCGCATACGATACACCGCGATACCCTTGCTAACCAAAACCAACCAGATAAGAATACCAACATTCACGACACACAAACACAAGAAACAAATATAGCCCTTCAGATACTGCATCCCATTCCATCTGGAAACTGTCACTCTCAAATGACAACATCTAAGTCGTAAAATGAAACTTTACCACCCATTCCACTTTCACTTTTCAAGGCGATACTACCTCGAACACCGTACACACAAGACCCGTGACCTTAGTCACAACAACACACTACTCGCCACAAGAAAAAGGTGTCTATATGGCAACATTATCCTTACTGACTCTAAAGACTAAGCCGACCACAATTGCCTCAACTGACGCACAACCCTATCACCTATCTGACAACATACAACAAACAATTCATAATCCCCAAACCACATTTGGGTTATACCTTAAACTATCCTGCTTATCAACACTAAACATCTCACTATAACACCTTTATTACCATTCTTCCTGAAGGACAAATCGTACCTCTCATCTCACTAGACCATCAAGCCACTACCAGGTGGTTTTTCCTCAAACATCCTTAGGACAACACCATCGTAACATGAAAATAAACATTACTTTCAATACTTTCTATAATGACCACTATTTGCCATTAAAAAAGAACCTCCATACGGCAATGTCATGCCGATAAACCCTCAAAGCAAAATGAGCACAAATCTCAAAATGCTCAACACCCAATTGTCACCTCAATACCATCAACGATGCCATCAATCATTAAGGTTTAACCGACAACATTAAACCACTCTTTCTGAGCGATCTACGCATCCAAACAAGAAAACTTCAAACCCTAAGTTCAACATCATTACTTTTCCTCATTCCCGTTCCTTAAAACATCCTTGGCCCTGACAAAAATTAAATAGGGCTACCAACTAACCTACAAGATCAACCTTGCCCCAATCACTCCAATCATTAGTTTATCACTTCAAATCCTCAAACAACAAGCACTATTTCCTGATACTCTAGACGCAATCTGAAATACAACCCTAATCCACAGCTTTCAAATTTTAAAATACAATTCATTTTATAACACAATACTCACCAGTTATCACTCCATCCGCAAACAACCAAACACTCTAATGACCCCATAATACCTACCTTATTGTGCAACCCTACACTACACAGCTAAAACTAACCACTATACACCACCTCAAGACTCTCTAGATAGCCGCACCAACCCAGAACCCCGCTCATCAACCGAGCCATGCAACCGACTCACCGAGAGTCGATTACCCAAAACACATTCCTATAACTCTTCGAAATGAGAATCACTCCTCGACAAATCAGTCTAAAAAATAGACTCCTACAAGTGATCGGTTTAAGATTTGATCTATAATAAATCAACCCTTTGTAATAGCACAAATCATTGTAAAATAGGGCTATTGGTCAGGTAAGTCGAACCACTGGGATTGCTAGTTTATGGCAACCATGGTTTTTAAATTCACTTTTAGTTTGATGAAAGGTATATAGAGTTTTGGTTGGTTTGTCACTAGAATTAGGAATTTAAAATTGCATAAAATAATAATTTGCAAGAAACTTAGAGGAAAGAGATCTAGGTAGAAAAGACTAGGGAAATGAATCCACTACC